ATACGATATTTATTTAAACTGTTGTTTCTTTACTTCTATAATCATTTAACTCTTTTCTTGCTTTACCCTATATTTCATGTTTAGAAAATATAACAAATGTTGAATATTTATTTCATTAGCTATATAAATTATCATAAATCAATGAAGAATAATTTAAATTATAAATAATGCGTGCATTTTTTTGGGTAATGTACATTTGAAAAACGTTCCCTTTATTTTAAACCTGTTTTTCGAACAACAGGAGCATTATATGTCAAAGGTTTTTTCAAAAAAAAACAATCGTTTAACATTTTTAGATACTAAAATTGTCTTTATTTATTTTTTATATGCATATACAGTATAAATGGTATTATAATATGTATTTTATAATATAATTATGATCTAAATTATTATTATTATTCATATATTTTATGAAAATTCAAAATAAAAATGTGTAAAATATGCCACATATTATTTACTATTTAAGTTACATATTAACATGTGTACAAGTTTAGTGTTTTACTACAAGCAATGGTTTATCAGTTCAAAATTTAATTTAAATGACCGTATTTTCTAAATTGAATTTACTCATAAAATAATTCAAAAACATTTTTGTATTTTTAAACGTATTATTTTCTTTCTCATACTAAACGTAAACGAATATAAACAAATGTCCGCATGCACGTGTGAGTAAATTGTGTGGTGTTAAGGAAATTTCACTTAATATGTAACAATACCTTCTGTCCTCGAAGCAAAACCTGTAATTATTTATGATCAACTTTTTATTGTTGTAAGACCTAACTACTTTTTCAATAAAAAAAAATCAGAAATTCATACCATTTTTTTTTCTAAACAGTTCATATAAAAACTCAAGTTCAAGTAATCAAATTTACATTGTTCAAAATGTGTAGTTTTGATGGGAATGGCGATGAATAATTACAAGTATAATATTTATTTACAAATTGAAGGTCGATGTGAAAATGAATCTATCCCCATCTTAATCTTTCACCTTATGTTGTACTTAACTATTACTAAATCTAAAATGTTGTTTTTAAATCTTAAATAAAGAAAAAGAAAAAACAATGTAACATATTTCTTCACCACCTCCGTCCAATTTTAAAATCGAAACTCAGTCTCAAAAATAAAATACTCAACTATAAAGCCAACCCAACTCCCATATAATCGTATGACATACAAATACGAGTGCAAGTATGAAGACAAGCCACCGTTAAGCATACGGCTACTAAAAGCCCTTTAGTCAATTTGTTTTCAACAAATTACTGGATACTCATGGTATGCCGCTAATCAAAATGTACATAAAGGACTAAATATTCAAACTACCTAAAGTCTAGCTCATTAATTATATAACAAATTTCATAACAAACCATCAGATAACAAAAATCCACTTATTTCTTAAATATCCTCCCAAACAATTCTTGAAAATGCCACCGGAAAGCTAAAAAATAAATTGGCCTAGAGACTTCCTGACCAATAAAAAAAAAAAAAAATCCAATGCAATATATTTATACAAACAATTAAAGAAACATATATAAACAAATTCAGAGATATTCAGAGAGATTCAAAGTAGTTTCCTCAAAAAAAGTACCCATGTAATGTTATTCTGAAACTTCAAAAAATTTATTTATTGTAAATATAATTTAAGTAGATATGAGAAAGATGAGACGAGAGGACACAAATGCAGTAAGAGTTCTTATGAAAATTAACGTTGAAAGGAAAAGAAGAAGAGGAAGACAATAAAAGAGATGGTTGGATACGACTGAGAATGAGGGCCATTGGTATGTGCGTAGAAAATGTAGAAAATCGAGACGAATGGGGTGGTCTATGATGGAAGATGGTAAACTGCGGCAAAATTAACCTTTTTCTAAAAAAAAAATGGAAACTGCAACAAAAAAGATTAAGATTATACAATCTGCGACAAAACCGATAAGATACATTATACAAACTGCAGGAATTTATTATATATACTTTCTATATATACAATATACATATATCGTTATGATAACCTATATGTACGTTTATTGTTTAATTAAGAATAATATATGTTATGACAGCTATTAGTGTAAAGACTTAGAGTATTAGGCATAAAAATAAATAAAAACCAATTTTTAAAATTGAAAAATATTATTATTACTAAAAATTATTTTAAGAGACCTTAATGATCGCATGTAGCTAAGGGTTAACATTTTATCGTTTATTTTTGAAACTTAATTTTTTCAAAAATTCATAACTTGAAATTTGTCCATCTTCTTTCATTTGTGGCTGTTCATTAATAAATTTGTATTTTTACGTTGTCGCTGTATTTATTTTTTGTATTATCCCTTCTTCTGCACTTTTAATTTTTATATGTGTCGACTTATATATAATTAGTATTATCAAAAGTTAAGGAACCTATATTACCGATATGTTTCGTTAAAACTTAAAATATATTTGGATTTACCTTACCACTTTGTACGCAAGACGCAACATTTCATAATTAATTAAACGATATACATACATAGGTACACATAGGTAGATATATATGATTTAGGTACTATAATAAATAGTATTTATAGTAGGTATGTATATAAAATAAATTGCTGCATTTTGTATTATGTATCATATCAGTTTTGTCGCAGATTGTAAAATCTTAATTTTTTTTTGCTACAGTTTACATACAGCCGTCTATGACAAGGGTAGTCAACCCTAAATAATTGGGAGAAAAATGAAGGAGAAGAAGAAGTTATAGATTTTAAATTTACTATTTACCAATAAAATAAATAAATCTTAAATAATTATTTAAATATTGAACACCAAGAATTTTTTTTTAAAGTGTATCGTGCCTTTTTACTCCACTATTATGGATACAATTACGTTCAAATACGTTATACTAAGAATAAATATGGATTCTAAGAGAATATCGGTATTTTAACCGTTTTTGTATTATTACCTCGATTTTCGTTATACTACTTCTCCTAGACATAATTTCTTTAGCTATACAAAATGGAAATATATTCAATATCATAATGACAAACATAATTTGTTGTCACTGTGAAAGTAATTTTTTTTTTTTTTTATAAAATAACCACAAAATTTGTTTTATAGGTACTCCTTGTCGGTATCTAAATAATTATAGCTATAGCTACTGACTAATTTAACTTAAATTATAATGCATTAGTAAGTGAATCTAATTATTCTCATGTATTTACTGATTGATGCAAGATTTTTTTAAAAATCGTAATGTGGTTTTACCAAACTTTTTTTTACCATTTATTTATCATATTAGTACTTAATATAATCAAAAATTCAACTAATCACCTACTCAACTTTTTTTTATACTAAAATTGTACTGCAAAAAGAAAAAGAAATATTTATAGGATAAAATAAAAAAAAAATTACAATTTTATTAGCAACCATGCTGTATTAGAAATCAATTAAAAATGTAAAGGAAAATAAAGTAACTGAAACTTGGGTACGTGTGGAAATGATCGAATTGAAATTCGATAGTAAAAATCGGCCGTTGATTACATTGACCTGTTAAAAAAACAAAGAACAAATATATATGTTCATTGGTGCGTTATTTAATTAGTAGGCATCATATAATGTTAATTAAAAGAAGTGAAACGCGCAAAGTTCCATACTGATGATTATTGTAACCACATAATATTAATAATTATATTGGCGTATGTCGCAATGCTATTTTTTCGCAATAAATAGAACCGCAGACATATTACATGTATAACATGTATAATGCGTATACATTCTACTGCTTCAAAAATTGTGTACTACCTTTAATTTTTCATCTGATTCATTAAATTTTAATTATAAAATAATACTTTATTTTTATTTAGCTACAGAATAATCTTATTAAAACAAATCTAATCAAATAATTAAGGTAATTATAAATTAGTCTGAATCTAAATACATATTATCTTAAAAATATAATTACCCAAATGGCTATGATTTAAACAGTTGAAAGTAAATTCTATTTTTTATTTATATAGCTTTTAATAAAAAATTATAACAATTCGACAATAAAATAAAATATACAATTAGGTAAATAATATTACATAAAAACTTATGAGACTAGATTGTTTGCACAATAACAAAATATATAGGTATAATATTATGAAAAAAATGGTTGGATAATGCATGAAATATTATTAGCTATAGAGAAAAAAACGTTTGTGTAAAACCATGGATAGGAGGGACATCAATGGGCCAATATAGAATTGTTTAAATTAGAAATAAATTGTGATATCATATTTGAGATGATGTCTGGTGAAGAATTATCGGATGTAACGACTTCAGCATAAGATTTATGCCTAGGTTGAGCATAAACTTCTTTGACCTCCTTTAACGGAGTTTTTGGAGATGTTTTGTGTATTTGATTTTAAGCTGGTAAATGTTTTCTTGTCATGAGACGATTTTAACTGTTTATACGACGTACAGCCTTTAAAATTGACGGTATATTCACCGGAAAAATTCAAATATCAATTATCAAACTTCTCTTATCCTACCACAATAGCTTAGATTTAAAAAAAAAAAAAACAAGTTACTATAGTTAAAATTATTTTTTGTTTATGTATAACTATAAGTTATCTTATATTTAATATGTCCATGCATGTTTTTGTTTGATGAAGTTTCTTTAAATAATGGATGTAAAATTTAAGTTTAAACTATAATTAATTCCTTTTTTGGATGGACATTTTATTTAGTCCCTGAAACTTTACCCAATAGAGACTATAATTAATATATTTTACTTAAAATATATTTCATAGAGGAACATAATTGTAAAGTGTATAAAAAACTAACATCGATAAACTATACTTAAATATAACATAGAACGATATGCTACTCTCAGTATTTAGTTTTTGGTCAATTATGAAATCGTGTAAGATTGTTGATGCATTTCTATTGCCTTGAAAAGTGTTAATAAAAAACAAATTAATAATGATTTATAAATCATATTTAGACTACTATACTATATATTTTTTACATTTATAATTTTTTATTTTCCATAGGAGCTGGTTCTGCTATTGGTGTCGACATCGATGGAACATCGATCGGTGGTGGTGGCTGTAGTAACAGATCAGAACCTTTATCAAATTCCACGTGTTCAAAACTTGAAGACGAAATGGATAAACTACCGCACAGGAGCAACTCATCGCTTGGCGTGGTAAGTACCATCAATAACTGTTCATGTTTAAATTTCTAGAGTACTTGATTAGTTTTTACTTATGTTACAACTATAAGAGTGTAAAATATTTAAATCTTTTCTACTATATTTGTATTTTTTTTTTTTTTTTTTGCAAAAAAGTATCAATGCAATTAGACGATTCTTACACTCAAAATTTCATGTTCTTTATCCTCATAAAATATTATTTAACACAAAGGTAAACTATTACATTTACAATATTATATGAACACATTATTTAAATGCTTACCTTCTCTCTCTTACTGAGTGAGATGCAATTTTTTTTAAAAATCTATCCTAGTTGATTGAGCCATTCAACTGCGTACATAAAGCCCATGCAGTATTTTACTATCTGGTTTAATGATTTCGAAGAGACATATAATAAATACAATTATATTTTTATTCCACAAAAATTGTTCTGTTGTCATAATTTCATGTAATTTCGTGTACACTCCATGGATATTGGTAAAATATCGAGCTCCCTGACTACCTACTAACAAACGTTTCGTCAAAATATTTTAGTGATGGTAACAATTGTACTGGTGTCGTATATAAATAAATCGTTCCTTCCATTTAGTGGTAAAAATGCTAAAGCGTTAATCATATCATAACTTATTCTAAAATCCGTGTTATTTCTCTATAAAGAAGATATACCAAATTGTTGAGCTTATTGCTATGTAAATTGATTGATACGTATTATCAGTGGATTTTATTTTTATAGTTTAGGAAAACCTTGACTGTTAACGATCGTACCATTATATCGCGTTTATAAAGACCGTACCAGTTAATTGCCATGAGTTTGTTTTATTATAAATTTTGGAGCATAATATTTGATAAATTCCAAAGCTTAAATGAAGCCCTTATATCCCCCTTATACCCCTATATGAACCCTTTATGTCAAGTAAATTAATCCACAATTATTGACTGTAATAATTGTTAATTTTCAATTATATCAACTTGAAATCAATTTTAAATGCATTACCATGTTGTATAATATACTACCGTTACACTTACTGTAATACTGATATATATACTTACTCCGCTGCAACAACTGCATTGCCCATCGAATTATGACCATGTAGTGCATTTATTGTTCTGCAGTAACCATGGTATTAGTTGCTGCTGCGTACTTGTATGTAAATGTAATATACCTAATAGCAGCAGTAGTGTAGTAGTTGATATTGTAGACGACGATTATACGCTGAAAATGTACCATCGCGTTTTTGACCGCATGTTCGCGTCAACAACACTCGATCCGAGCTCGTGTGAGGACCCGATGAGATTTATTGCATTTGAAAACGTTCGATATTGCGCGTTGTTATTTGTATTGCACCATAAGTACTTAGTGCGGCTGATCCTCAGTAGTACAATGTATGTACAAAATGCGTTGCTAAACAAGTTTCCTAGTTGGGGGGAAAGCAAACTGATCATTAAAACCCGTACTATATCGTATCCAATTATTAATGATATCTTTTTTTCAGTTTCAATGCAATATTGTCACTAAGACCCATTTAATGTTAATTATGATGACTCAACTTCAATATATTAAGTATTTTTTTTAATATAAGCCACATTTTATATGTAATATAAATTATTACATTTTTATAGACACCGTGCAGAAAGACAACTAGCGCTCTGGGGAGATAACTCACGTACAACTTGATAGCGACGATTTTACGCGCAATGATATTCTCAGACTCATTGGTCATAATATTTTTAATAAAAGTCTGCAAAAATGCAAAATCGAAAAATGAGCATTGAAATTTTGAGCGAAGCAAGAAAAACAATTTTTAGTTTGCAAATATATTATAATTCACATTCCCCACACCTATAATATATATATATATAATTATATTTAATTTGTCGTAGATACTATCTTAATTTAGTTGTCAAATAATTATTTTCGTTTGCAGTATTATTGTATTAACTATAAATTATAAAGTATTTAAAAAAAATAAAACTTCAAACTTCTTTAATATTTTAATCATAACCTATCAGCATAGGCGCAACTAGGGTCAATTTTTTGGGGGAGCTAGAACAAATGCAATTCGAGTATATTTTGTTTATGAAATGTACAACATTTATAATATCTGAAATAATAATAATATTTGAGGGGGCTATCCAAATATTTATGGGGCTAAGACCCCCCATGTCCCACCTAATTGTGCCTATGCCCATCAGTATTTAGTAATAATAATATAAATGATCAAGGCTAGACAAATTAACTAATTATTTTATTCATTAAGTTTATATATAAAAATGTAAGTTAAATTTAAAATGTATATAAGCAGGACTATTTGGATGTCTTATTGGCTTATTTCCAACAAAATGGTCACAACATATTACTGGATTGGATGTAGGTATCCATGGTGTTCCATCAATACTACAGACACACACATTATTGGTAGAAAAATTAAAAGTACTATAATATTAGCACATGTTAAGACAAAAACAATACTAACTTCATTCTTTTAATACTTTTTACCCACTTTTCTTTAAGTTCTTTTTTATGCTGTCGATTTGGAAAGTTAAATAATTTATGACCAGTCTTGTATGTATTGCTAAAATTCACAACACAACACATTTTTTGGCCACTTTTCTTTTTATTTTCGCTCATTGTTAAAGGAAAGTTCAAATAAAACAGTAAAATAAGCAAATATTAACACTTAATAGTGAAATTTGTATATACCGAGTACGAAACTGTTGCTAGTAACTAGTTTACTGATTGTCCACTACGTGGCGCCGTTTTCCGTTGTCTGTATGGCCTCTATACATCAACAATTTTAGAAAAATTATAAAACAAAAAATGTACACATTAACTTTTATAAAATTATTTTTCATAAAAAACATTTAACAAACGATGACGACGATATCACAGCTTTGATAGCATCATTCGATACGTACAATTTCGTTCCATCGTTCATCGTATATACGACACATATCCTATTACCTTTGCCCCGGATTTTCAAAAACAAATCACGACGTCATCGTGAAAATATATTGTGGCCTACTTAGCTGTAGTTCGACGAGATTACGTATGAAAAACGATAACAGTATGCAATATTATTTAGGTTAATGATTCATATAAAACTTCCATTAGACTAATTTAACGACACGAAAAACTGTCACATAATAGTTATTACAAAATTAGTACCGTAAATTGTAATATTAACATAAGTGAATGATGTTGATCTTTGACTTTTATCGTTTATTAGGTATTGTCATCATTTCACTTACAATTTAACTATGTATTCGTTGAATGAAACATTCGCTATACAATACTTATGTAATGTATAAAATCTATTTGATCTTGAAATTATTTCGATTCCCAGTACTACTGAAAACTAGTGGTAACAGAAATTATAAACCGTTTTTACGTGGTAATACAATTATTACTAGGACTGTAATGTTTATGCACTTCAAATACTGTAGCATGTATGTATACACTATAAAAATTACCAAATATGCATAAAAAACAAAATATGCATTAAAAAAATAAAATAAAAAAAACACCAAAATATGCAGAGTAAAATTGATTTTACCTTTAGTATTAAAAATTGTTTGTGTTTATGTTAGTATTAAAAAATTTATTATAATTTATAAGTATTTTAATTTTTATTAGTTGCTATTTTTATATTATATATTTTTTCAATGTTATATACTAATTTAAAATATAAGTGTTATAATTGTGGTACAATGATTTTTTAATTTGATCAAACTTAAATCTAAAAATATTTAAGGCACAAATAGAATTATACGAGTCGATAATTTATCATTTATTTAAATTATTTTTAAAAAAGTTCGAAAATAAACCAAATAAGCATTTATATTCTTAAAATCCTTAAAATATACATTTAAAATATTAAAACCATAAAATATACAAAAGTAGTATTCTTTGATTCAGTAAGATATGAATCAAATTTATATCCAGGTCTGCATTAAATTAGATGAATATAAAAAATATACAATTTCATAAACATCCTATCCCTAAATATTATTATATATTGATCGAATTCTCCAAAAGTTCACTGTAATAAATTAACTCTGTTTATTTAATAACATTTTAAAGTAAAGACTATATTTTTAATATTATAAAACTGCAATTATACATGGATAATAATTTTATATTAGTTTTTATAGTGTATAATTTCGACAATATCCTTCATTGTTTATCCATGTATTACTATAAAATGACCACTGTAATATAAATCATGTTGCGCCAGTCATATGTAATCAATATGTTTACAACGTTATTTAATTTTAATTTTTTCTAAGAAAATAATAACTTCGCTGAGCAATGTTTGTCTATTTTTTTCCATTGTTTCCTTTCCACTTTATTTACATAGTAAATCCTTTTTACTGCATTCACTTTTATATACGTTTAGTTAAATTAATGTAATAGTTACATATTTCTTTATCTTACAAACTACATAATCAGATAATATATGTAGATAAATAAGTAGGTACCTCATTAATATTGAATTCAGTTATGTTATATACGTAGTATGATTATAGATCATTTACCTATTTTATAATTTTTAAAAAACACATTTAGTCATCTTCAAACGTAATTGTATTTTGTTTAATATTATATATTTCAAGTTCACAGTTATTGATCTATAATTGATCTAAATGTATAAATTCAATAATAACTATATTTGCTTAATTCAACTATATAGGTTCATGGAAAAACTGTAGTATCGATTTACTACTAAAATTGCCCGCGTTACGCTTGTCTTTTTAGAAGAAGATTAATGTTGCGCATTACATCCTCTCGGCATACCTTTCTACATACGGCTTATGATTTTTTTCTGATACTTTTACCTTATAGTACGAGTATTTTTAACAATGCAAAATAGTTTTTTACATTAACACCATATATCTATTTAAACTGTTACAGTTTTCCTTTAAAGTTATTACGTAATTACTGCATATAGTTTTCTTGCTAGCTTTGTTATTCATTTTACATAAATAAAACTCAATTAATATTTATTTGTAAGTTTGTTTCTTAGATTTGAATTTTTTATGATTTTTCTTATATTATTGACGTAGTTTATGGTACAACGTCAATATAACTTTCAAAGTTTCCTTTTCGTTATCTGATCGTCAAAGTCACTTCGCTTTTACACCTTAATGTACGTGTTTGTACATCACCCGTATATATATTAAATTATACCCATACCATACTTAAATTATTCATACATAAGTACGTACTGAACGCGAACTTTTATTCAGGTCGGGTGTACATTAATTTTAAAAAAACTCATACTACGCGGTTAATCGCCGCTTCTAAACTTCTACAGGTATATATTGTCTCTTGTCGCCTAAGGAATCAGTTGTTTGTCGTATATTTCATTTAATGGTCTTGACGAGGATATTTCCCTTCTTCTTCATTGCATTCTTCGTTCATATTTTCTTCCTTTCTAAATTAGGGTCTATGATACCATCACTGCGTCTCACGAATAATTATTACGTTAAAGTTAAGCACAAAAACGAAATCGCACAGTTCATGAGCGCGGGTTTAAATATGTGTTTTTAACGAGTTCGGCGAATCCTGGTTCCGTTTCGTCGTTGTATATAACATTTAATCGGACGATTAGTAGGGTCTCTCTGATTATGGATAATTTATGATAATTTTAATTTCAAAATACCACACTTCAACTTCGCTGCGGACAACAAAGGTCGTCGTAACCAAAAGGTTAATAGCGCACACGTTTTATTTATATACGAGTATATAATATATATTATAACGTATACGTTAAAATATAATACAAGGTATACAAATAATTCTCATAATGTTTGTCATTATTCAGAGTGAAGACCCATAGTGCCTGTTAGAATTGTCGAAAATTACAGCTATCCGATCGAATGGTTTTTGCACGTCACCGTGTTGTCATTAGACCGCAGATGACGATTTAACGTTTTTTTTTTTTTTTCACCGAGCGTAAATTGATTTTGTTTCGCGTTGGACGTATTAAATTGGTCGCGCGTCATATTCCAGGAATACAAACCTAACAACGCTCTGCAGAGCTATAAAAGTATTATTATGTCTCATCGTTGGTTTTTTTTTTTTTAAATATCTTTCACAGACCAGAAGCGATTCTATGGCATCCGTGTACTCAGGTGCTGGAGAAGGCAGGTACGGTACAGTAGCCATTAGAGGCGAAGTAGAATTCGGTCTTCAGTATAACTACAAAGCTGCTCAGTTTGAAATAAATATCAAACACTGTCGTGATCTGGCAGCAGCCGATCCCAAACGAAACAGATCTGACCCGTAAGTAACTCAATTTACACCAGACTAACCTTATTATTGTGTAATTAAATATGGTTATCTTACGATAACTACTTTTCCTACGATAAAAAAATTAATCACTTGTATTGTTATTCAAGCAATTATGATATGGATGTTGTTTAAAAATATGCATAAATATTCTTATTTTCATATTCTAAAACATTTTTATTTTTATTTATTTATAATCATATATGTGTATGTATATCGATTGAATAATATTTTCATTTTAGCTATGTTAAAGTATACTTGTTGCCTGATAAATCAAAAGCTGGCAAAAGAAAAACTCGAGTTAAAAAACACACGATGAACCCAATATTCGATGAAGTGCTGAAATACAGTTTACCTCTAGAAGAGCTCAATAACAGAATATTGTGGCTAAGCGTGTGGCACTCGGACATGTTTGGACGCAACAATTTCTTAGGTGAAGTCCAACTTCCTCTTGAAAATAAGATATTTGACGATCCTTCACCTAAGTTCTACCCACTTCAGGAACGGGTAATACTTATATAACAGATAATAAAACAAATATTTTTGTATGTAAGATTGTGATTGTGTATTATATAGATTGAACCTTTGGAAGATATGTGTATCAGTGCTAAAGGTGAAATAATCGTTGGTCTGAAGTGTGTTCCACCGGACCCGAACTCAAAGAAACGTACCAAAGGCACGTTACTTCTTCTAGTAAAAGATGCAAAGAACCTTCAAGCAATTAAATCGAACGGCTCATCCGACCCGTTTTGCAAGAGGTGAGTTGTATTAGACGAGTTGATTTTGTTTTAGGTACTATATGATCGAAACTAAAAATTGAATCTTATACAAAAATAAAAATAAAAACAATTGCATTTATAGCTTACTGTACGATTGCGTGTATTGTTATATTTTTTTGATTTATTTATTTATTGAAACGCCTTTATTTTTAATTTCAGTTACTTACTGCCCGACAAAGGTCGCAGCTCCAAACAGAAGACCAACGTAGCCCGCAAGACGTGCAACCCGAATTGGAACCAAACGCTCACGTATCGGGACGTATCCCCGGAAGATTTGGCCGAGAGGAGTCTGGAACTGACTGTTTGGGACCACGATCGGCTAGGCAGCAACGAGTTCTTGGGAGGTGTCCGCCTATCATTGGGCTCGGGTAATTTTTTGTTTAATAATATATTAATTTTCTCACTAAACTGTTGCTGCTGTATTGACCGTTGTCATCTAAATTCCTAATGTCTGCAGTTAAGCTTAGTTAGAACTTAACGAATGTGATGATTAAACCGCTACAACATTTACGACGAATTTCCAATCCACAAAGCACCTCTTATGTGGTATTTTTTTAACAGTTTTCAACCTTCAGTAGATTGATTATCAACAATCTATCCACTATATACAACATGTGCTGCGTACGTGTTACGAATTTCTCGGAGTCATTTCTCCGCCCATCTTCGACTTAGTAAATACTTCAATAATGCCTCCATCACCATTGTAAATCTTCATCAAATAACTTAGCTAGAAAGTATGAATTTGGATCTTAAAAATGTTGTTTTTATATTTTGTTCTCATTTAAATCTCGATTATTGGATGTGAGTGGTTTTTGTTAAATGGTAACAGGCGAAATTTTATCACGTGAAATATATTATTTTATCCTTAATAAAATCATAATCTATTAAAAATAATAACGTACTTAAGTACCCCATCATCACAGAATTAGTTTTAAACCTTTCACTCGACCTCCTCATTACATTGTAAATAATTATTCGTACTTCACACTATAAACATAGAAACCACCATGATGACATTCGCCCGCATAAATCACTTGGTTCGCGTGGATGATGGATTTTAAGAACAACTGTAATTACAATTAATAAAAATAATTAAATTAAAAAGAAGAATGATGTACGAATATATGCTTGACCGATTAATCTCGTGATAAATATTAAACATATACTTACGTTATGACGTCTATCGTACTGTTCAGTCATTTAAATTAATAATAATAAAAAAAACTAAGTTTGAGGCATGAAGAAATTCATCTTAGAAATATTGCGTTTTGAAATACGTTAAAAATGAAAAAATAGAGAAACGTTAAGCAGTTTTTTAAAAAAAAAAAACGATATCAGAATTATAAATGAAAAAAAAATCTTAACACGAAATTTAAAAAAAAAAAACTATTAAACTCAATAATGATGGAAAACGATTTATTGTTCGAGGAAATATGTATCGATAGAAACATTGGACGATTTCATGATGATAAGATGAAATCTTATTTATACCTTCTAATGTATTTTATGTATGTGCTTATTAAAAATTTAAATTTAAATCCATTGGCTCAATAAAGCAAACTATTAAATTATAAATTTACCCTGTTAATAAATTTACTATATTTTTTTTAAAAAGTAACTATGTTTTTGCTGACCTCCGTCATTCAATCACAATATATTGCACGCCCCAAAAATATAATTTAATTATTGCTATTCTAAAAAAATAGAAAAAAAACTAAATCTATTTACCTTTAAATACTTGTACATTTATTTTTAAAACAATTTTACTAAATGATAAAATGGAATTTTTTTTTTTTAATCAGAAACGAAATAATAAAAATTAAAAACATTTTTAAATACCTCAAATAATTACTAACAATTACCAAAATTAGTTAGTAAATAACATTAGTTACTATCATTTTCTTCTAAAAATTTAATTTACGTCCTGATTGTGATCTATTAAATGTTTCATTTATAATATAATTTATAATTCTGTATTTTGTATTGTTATTTATATATTGAATTACTTTTTTCAGGGATGTGTGATGGTAAACCAGTGGATTGGATGGATTCCAACGAAAAAGAAATTGCTTTGTGGCAGCGAATGTTAGATAGACCAAACTTTTGGGTTGAAGGCTGCCTTACATTAAGGCCATCTTTAGAGTTAGCGAGCAAAAATTAAAATAAAATTTTTTATTATTCAATTTTATTCTTCAAACATGTTTTCATATATTTTTTTTATTTCATTTTATATGTGTATATTATAATTATTATTACTACATTGCTGGTCAGCGTATACTTTGATCATTAGTTTTTTTGTTTTTTTTTTATGTTTTTATATACACTAAGAATATCTGTGATCTACGAATATTTTAATCGTGTAACAAACAAAGAGTTTATACCATAATGTTGTTTCAGTCTTCCACTCAAATTTTGTACGAAACATTTATTAAGATTAATAGTATATAACATGTAGCTCTTATACTTAAGTGTGTTCTACGCAAAAAGTTGTAAACTACATATTATATATTTGTACATTATATGTACAATGTACATCTCTTATTATTTATTTTTTTGATAAATGTTCAGTATTTTTATTTTACTTTTTGTATTACTATCATTATTATTATTATTATAATTAGATAAATATAAATTTTGTTTAATTACTTAGTAATAAGAAGAGAACTCTTAAGATTTTCTTAAAATCACGATTAATATAACTCAATTCTCAATGAGTTTAAGGTATCTCTTTTGTTTGGCATAATAAATTGCATGTAATTCTACATAGCTTTTATATACATTGGGAAATATTTACCTATAAATATATTAAAAAATATGTGCTATAAAGTATATTTTTTATAAATTGTATTATTAATTAAATTATATGCTGTGGTCCTAAAAACCCTATTGAAATTGAATTGCCAATTTATATTTCATAGTTATTAACTATCCTTAGTTTTCTAAGAAATCTCTTCGTGCCACGACTATAATTTAACTTATACATTTAAAATGTATACATATTATTATTATTATGATTGCAAATTGGTACAATTTTAAAATTTTTAGTTATATATTTTTAATTAAAATTCTTTCAAATTAAGTAACTGTAGTAAAGTTTTAAAAGAAACTTGTCGCAATTGCATATGACAGAATACCAATAATATTTATTGCCTATGTTTTTTAATTTTATATTTTTTTTTTATATATATAGACTACAATTTTTAATATGAAGATAATAGTTAGCAATTAATTAATTATGAAAAAAACATCATCATGTTAAAAATGTATTTAACTATAACTACAACATTGTAGGGACCCATTTATAACGTACAGCGGAGTAAGGTGCTCGGGCATATCCGGTTCCCTATGTGTTTGTCTATGAACATAATTATTTTCGTAATTTTATCATCACTATATCCCCCCTCCGAGCCAACTTTAAATTCCCTCTAGAGGGGGTAAATCCCCCCGGTTGGGAACCACTGATCTAGTACTATAAAATTTTTTATTACCAAAATTATTAGGTATCTTGTAAAATAAATTTATTTGAAATATGCGATAGTAAAAAAATAAAACCTTAACAAAAAAATGTATTGGAACACCAGGTACATATTCAAATTAATGAAACAAATCTAAATTACCATTGATGTATTTAAAATATTACATATATTCAATATTGTGCATCTATATATTTTATTATTTAGTTTTATTAATGTTATAGGTTAAGTTAGCTGTATTTGAACTTTGACTAAAATTTTTAAGAATCTGTGTCTAAATAACCAAAGTCTGTAGTATTATGGCCACAGCCAAATTGTTGTCTAAATAAAATAAAAATTTTAAATTAAAGGATATTTATAGAAAAATAAATGACTATTAGGTATTTTTAAATATTTTTTTATACTTGAGTTGTAAGCATTAGAAAAGTTAGATTAAATACATATATACAATTTCTCTTAATAATTACCGACGTTTAAAAGCAATAATGTTATTGAATTCGTCAATAATTTCATTAAAATGTAATTTACAAGCTAATTCTTGTTCTGTGAATATAATTATTAATGATTCTAGTCTATCTTGGCACATAGTACCTACATCTGAGTTTATTTTTTACAATACTTAATTTGGAAAATATCCTTTCGCATGTACAACTTGTTACTGGCAGTGCCGGATTACTCATTAGGCGGAGTAGGCGCAATGCTGGATCTAAAAAATTTGACGCCCGGCCATATTTTCATGGCTTTTTTTTATTTTTCGTAAGCTTTAAGGGGCCCTTAAACCAACAGTACTTAGGACAAGCAAGCTGACCCCACCCTACATTTGTTGCTCATGCCTGATTCCCGCCGCAACGTAAAACGGTGTCAATGATACGATCACTCTCCAGGGTTGTATTTAGATTTACTTCTAGGGGGAAGCGACTCAAATTTTTTCTTTAATTCAGGCTCAACATTTACAAGTAAAATCGTTGGTAATATTTAAATCAGGCGAATCCTTAATATTTGTGGTTTTTTTTTTTTATAACCTAATGCCGGATCCACTTACAATCAACTTGTGTGTAGTTCTTCTTTAACATCTGTCTGTGTTTTGAAAGTTACAATTGTGTTTTATTTGATTTTACACTGAGTCTAGGCCCGAGAAAAAGCCCAATTTATTTCATTCAACATTGACCGTGATGTTACCACTGATTATTGGTACTGATACTGAAAATCATAATAATATATACATCATCAGGACTCAAGAGTTAAAGCATTTGCTTATTTTTATAGATTGACTTAAAATGTAGCAGAGTACTATAGAAGTGTATGTCAAGTTATAACACACACAATTATGAAATTTGAAAGTCTCTTTTTTGCTTTTTTCAGCAATTTTTAAAAAAAATACTTATTTCCAGTTTTTCTGATTATTTTTGCTTGTTCGACCAGTTTTTTAACGTTTTTATACTTTTCTCCTGCAAAGTCATTTTTGATAAAATTAAAATAATTCTCATCTTAATCACGTTGTCACGTAGTTCGTCGCCGTCCAAGGCATCATTGATTAGGTTAGGTTAGGTTAGGGTTAACAAAGATATTCCATAGCTGAAAATAGAACTGAGTGTCAAACGTCAGAATGATCAAAAACAGATAGTTTACATTTTATTTTTCAGAAAAATCCCTTAGAAAATCAATAAAATTTTTAAAATCTTGAAAATGAATATTTATTTTTATTTTGTTTAATTTTTTAGTTAGAATTTTATAGTTTTTTTTTTTACTAAATATTTTTGCTTAATCTTATATTTTTTAAATGCTTATTTTAGGGCTTATAATGATGTTTTTAAGCGCTTATTTTAATGATTTTAAGTGCTATAAGTCTCAAGCTCTGTACATCATGCTACGCGTCCGATCACCTTCAATTATTATATTTTAATGTTTTTCTGTAATTTTTCTTATCACTCATTTGCAGTGGCGTAGGAAGACTCGCTAGCGCACCTGGCAAACTATACAACAAAAAACGCTTTTTAACCAATTAAAATTTGATCTAACGACATTTTTTTTAACCTTTAATTTTACTAATTTTTTAGTATACAATTTATATTTATAAGTTATTATTACAGTGTGAATTTTAAACTTTGAAAATTTGCTTTTCTCGCTTTATTACTAACAAATTCATCCATAATTTCTTCATATGAAATTTTTATTTAAATGTCCTTGTGCTATTTTCATAATTTCATCATTAAATTCACACGAAGTATGTACAAATAGAAAACATCTACATATTTCAAAAAGTATAATGGAAAAATTTCGATTTGATTGTATGATAAAAATACGATTTTTGCATAATTTTACGCCATTTTTCAATTCGCGCCCTTGCCGTAAGTACAGTTTGCCATATCCTAGTTACGCCACTGTTAATTTGTATTTTATAACGAAAATGTCTGAAAATCAAAAAATTGTTAACTAATTCGATTTCGTTATAAAACGATACACATTAAAAAAAAAATTGAAATGTACTTCACACATATAATCGATTACTTAAATACGGATTCAGGGGGTTGATCGCCCCCTCCCCCCTAAAATACTCCCCTGTCACACACGCAATTCCTGTTTTCACAACCACCTCTATGTGTCAAATGCAGCAATGGAACTACTCGAAAATGCATTTTACGTTCTAGTAGTGCATGTAGTGCGAAATACAAAGACAAATTGTTATTTATTCATTAAAAAAAAATGTAAGCAACTCTCACAAGAAACACAACTTTAAGATTGAATCAATTGCCACATCAAAAGTGCCAACAAATATTTGATCACAGCTAAATCCACGTTTTTAAATACCCAATTCAATGAATAGTTGAAAGCAGAAATAATTTTTGGTAATTCAAATAACTCAATTGTACCTATTTTTCATATTTTATCTCATTTTGTATCACAATAATTTAACTCTATGGTCTATTAATGCTCCTACCTCTTATCAAAAGTTGCACATATTATTTATTTTTAAAATAAACTATCTGAAATCAATAAATATATTAGTAATTTATTTTTTATAGTTGAAGAATATAATTTGGATTACCTGGTGAAAACAACATCAAGGGCAGATCTGAAACATATTTAAGGGCCCCTTAAATAAGGGGAAGAGTATGACATTATAATAGTGAATAATAGTCATACAGATAAAATAGCCAGAAACATATTAAATTTCACAAAAAAAAATTGTTTCAAAAATGGTTATAGTTTAGTTTTAATAATTAATTAGATCGTTCCAGTATAACACAATTTTTATCAATAGCAATTATGCACTTTTATTTTTTTGATTTTTGGTCTCTTCCATAGGCAATTCAATAATATATTGGTTACATTTGTGAGTTACCCCAAAAATATGTAGGTTTACCAGAGGTAAAACACAAATAATGTTTCAAATTTAGAACCGCTGAAGCTTACAAATGTCAAATATATTATAAAGTTTTTGTTAATTTGAGGGGCTAAGCTGTCTCTCTTATTTGAGCCTATGACAAGAGGTATTTAAACTATGCATTGAGGTTTAAACGGTTAACCAAATCTAATCAAAGTGTTGATTGTACAGAAGAGGAAAAAATAATTGATATAATAAATTATCATGCTATACATTTAAGTCTGTCAATTTATGTATATTAAATTATGGTATAAATAAATAAACACACTTATACACATTCAACTATTTTTGATATTAATAAATTGGAAGTCCCCAAAATTTGGTTAGGGATTAATAAGCTATATGTATTATGGTAGAAAAATGTTGAATGGCTCCAAGTATGCGTTTAGAGAAACATATTCAAAAGTGAATTATATAAAATATAGTATTATATATTATTAATTTCTTTTTAATGTATTAATAATAATTAGTTCAACACAGATTAATTTTATAAGTTTTAATATTTACTGAATAACATAGTGAAAAATAAATATATAGATTGAAAATTAATTTTAACCTCATAATTGTGTAAAAAAGTCATCGAACATATAATTTCTAAGATAAACGAATATCTTTATGTGTTCAATATATTTATTTTTTAATAACTTAATACAAAATAATTGTAAAACTCAATTTTGCAATCACAGAAGACAAGAAAAACAATTTAAATTGATTTTATAGTTTAAGATCATAACAATTCTATAAACGTAAACAATAATAAATAAAAAAGTGGTATGTAATATAACACAGTGAGTACATAGAAGATAAATGGAGAATAGCAAATTATTGGAATGTAAAACAATATCACATCATCAAATGTGACCATACAATGTGATGTAAAACAATCATGCTCTTAACAATTTTAATAAAAAAAAATAAAAAAATCAGTGACATATTAGCTAAAGTAAAATCTAGATATACAAAAAATCTGATTTGAGTGCTACTAAACTCCTCCACCATTATATGCATATTCAGCTTTGTTATGCATAATGAGTTGATCTTCTACAAAATAGAAACTGTCAGATTTAGTTTCAAATGGATTTTTGATCATATCGTTAACTGAAATATCACATACATTAAAATCATACACTTACATAAATAATATAAATAAATTCAATAATTAACATACTCAATTCAGAATCCAAATTCGGAAATTTATAAATATGTTCACATGTATTTTTGCTATGTGGTATGCAAAAACCAAATTCAAAATCAAACGTCTTCAACAATTTATTACGGAAAAAATGTCGTTCAATCATACGGAACTTGTTTACAGGCTTACTTCCAACAGTAAACTCCACTCTGTTGATTAGATTAAAATTAAAATTAAAAATTATAGAATAAAGTTTATAAAACAAAGTTGGTTAAGATAAAATTTCAATACTGCATCTAAATTACAGTAAAATATAATGAAGGAAAAAAAATATTTATTACAATTCTTACGTTGCTCCAACTAATTTTAATTTAAGAAATTTGGGTGTAAATTGATAGCGTACAAATCTACCACTATTAAGATCTGTTTCTTCTACTTTTCCTTCAGTTTGATTATCGTCTAAAAACATTATAGCAAAAAACTTTAATACAAATAAATGTAATACATGCAAATAAATCAAACTTACCTAATATTACAGAGGGTTTGGCAATTTCGAATAAAACCATTCCTGTATCAAGATCACGTATTTTAAAACGAATAAAGTCTATGTTGTACACATTTGCATCTGGAGTACACAAATAGCCTGAAAAAAAATCAAATAAAATATTCACTCATACTATGCTTAATATTAAATATTTATTAATACCTTCAGTAATTTTAGATAATGCCAACACATCTTCCGGTGAAATAGTAGACTTTTTTTGTAAAACTTGTTCCGATAACTGTATAGCTATATTAGAAAAAAAGTAGGTATATCAATTACTTAAAAACTAATAAAATTAATAAATTGTCTAAATTTGTTTATTTCCTTAATACTAATTTTTGAAGTAAGTGATATAAATTAAGCTATTGATTTAAAATTTGTATAAATTATTTTTCAACTTGAGTAATATGTATTTTGAAAAGATTTAGTACTAATATGTTTTATGGGCAAATCAAATATGCTAAGTATTACATAGTTATAGTTGTTATACACATCAAATACATAAAAATAAAATTAATTACCCATTGGTACAACAGAAATAAATTTCAAATCCATAAAGTAAAGAATTATTAATTCCAATATTAGTCATGAACACTAAACAAATGCTACTTAAATAAATAAGAGATGGTAAAGATGTGTCAATCTATTTAAATCATGAAAAGATTATAACACTTAAATACCTAGACATTTTTTTTTTTCAATCGAATAAAAGTACTCACAAACAGCATCAATGTTGTTATCTGAGGTAGCTGAGGTAGCAGCCACAGGATTTGTTCTCTTACTGGCCATCTCTGATTTTGTACCAAAATATACCATGCTTTGTTGACAAATCAGCTAACACTTTGTTCTGTTGTCAACACAAATGGTTCTGTTTCATCCCACAGTTAAACCGATGACCAATAGATCTGAAGAGATGATAAACGGCAAAAACGAGTTAATAATGAACAATATTTTAACATTAGAGTGTATCCGATTGATAACGTGTAAAGAGATGTGGTAAATGAAAATCCATGGTCAGCAAGAGAAGAGGTGGTGATCGCACGTAGTGTCAGTACGAATATAATAATGAGATGGTTCTCGAAACTAGGACGACATTGTCTGTACCTAAACACAACCAGCAGTGAAGGTCTCTCACTGGAAATCCATTTCGTTGGGCCAATAATGAGTATGCGTACTTATTTCGCACTCGGCTTTATTGTCGGAGTGACATGACGTGTAAAATTTCGTCGATGTAAGTATTGTTGTTACAAACGAAACTAGAACGTTCAACAGAGAACGAAGGAAATAATAGCGAAGAGGTAGTGGTGAAAAGAGAAATAGTGAAAATAATACCTACCCGAACGAGGGACGGTATAATAGGGGTCAACGTTACAGGAGAGGGGGGAAGAGTATTAAAAAAAAAATAGAGCAAAAAATACATTAACCCCAATAGCGTTCTACATATACACATGTCAAGAACACGCTCACACACATATTTATACATGTATATATATTATATCTGTATTATATATAAGCATACCTCTAAACTTGCATGTATATCGACTCGTGCGATAATTCATAACGATAATATTTGCACAGCCGTTCCTAGTCGAAAACTTCAAAGCTTCAACGCGCGCGCGCGCGCGCGTACATATAATAATAAAACCGTACGTCTTATCACTAAGTCGTTATCATTATCAGTCCAATCAAGGGGTGCGAGAGCAACGTAACCGGTTGGACTTCGCAATGCACTCCAACTGAACATAGACTTAGCCGAACGATGGCGCAATCGCGCTTACCTAACCTTGTTACGAGGTTCTCAAATCTAATGTATTGGTTAAATTTCAAAGTCGAATAATTTTCTTATATAGGCCCATAAGTCATATGTAAATCAGAAGCGTATATATGGGTGGGATGTTATGGTTTTCTCCCCCCTCCTCACCCAGAGAATTTCAGACCTCATATTTTTAAATTTCAATCAATTTGAAGTTTGTTAATTTTGTAAATTCGAATAAAGAAAAAATTTTAGTAATTTTATAAAACTATATTTCATTAAATCTAATAAAACCTGGATACGAAAATATTGGTGTTTTTGTTTGTGCAAGTCAAAATACATTATACACTTCACAGGCTAATACCTATTGCTGTAGCCTGTAGTTCGCAGAAAATTGTTGTCAATTAATTATAGACATGGTAGAATGAAGATCGCATTTTGTTTCAGAATAGACTTAATGGCTTTGCCATGTTATCGATTCATCCAAATTTAAAATTTAAATATTATTACCAATGGATTTATTGACGAATTGGCAAAAAAATGAAGCAAGCTAGAGTTTATCATAAAGTTTATAATTTATAAAATTATATTTTTTAATAAGAAGATAATAAAACAGAAAAAATTTAATTTTGACCATTTTATACTAATTTATAAAAAAATATATGATGACACTCACAAAAAATTGTTTAGTAAAAACGCCACTGATGTCAATCCACATCTAAAAAAAAAAGTATTAATATATTGTAAAATAGTTGAAAAATAAACACTTAAAATTGTAATTATTAATTTATGTTTATTTAAATGTGTTAATATTGTTTTAAATAAAAAAAAAGTTATAAATAAATAATGAAAATTATATGTCCTTAGTTGCCGTTTCAAAATAGCCTGCTTAATTTTTATACTTGATATCAGTCTAATTTAAAATAAATGTTTTATAACGAAATATTTTTTACATAAATACTATAAGTGAACTGAACATTTTGCCGAAAATTGTAATTCTTAAAAATGGCATTAAATTTAAGTGTCTCAATCAAATATGCAACAGAGCTGCAACTATACTAAATTGAATCTATGTGTACCTAAATACATTTAATGGGCTCCTCGCGTCCGAACGCTGCAGCGATGCCGTACCTTTAATCAATTGTAAACAAACTATTTTTAATATCAGTTATACAGGCCGCAAAAGAAACGTTGATGTACGATAATGCAAAGCCATAGGCAGGGTCGGTGAGAGGGTGGGGCAAGGAGGGCTAGATCCCCGGAGTCCGTCATCTCAGCCTTTCATACAGTATTTTTATTGTACAAGCAGTATGTATATCTTGGTCAAGCAAGTGCAAGTAAAGAGGGCCTGGAACCGATCAGTCCCGGAAGTCCTCAAAAGTTCTTGTCAGCCCTGGCCCTAGGCCCGTGTGTTTGACACACGCAACACACCCAGTTATTTCCACAATGTTCTAAATGTCTGGCATTCCTGAGATTTGAGCACAACACTGCCTACAACACAACACATTGGTGTAATAATATTTTAAATAAATTCTTCCGATTCCCAAACTGAACAATTGATCCAGCCACGTAAATAGTTGCCTATTTTATAGGGGAGGGGGGGCGATTGATCTTTTTCAAAATGATTGGAACTTAAATAATGTGCAATAAAGTGGCATATATCACAACCCATTATACTGTATCGTCCGAATTACAAATGTATAACTAACCTTACAACTTAATTAAAATATGTGTCCCCTGAAATCTTACAAATACCCCAAAAATTGTACAAACAATATCTTATATTTTAATTCTTCGTTAGTATAATACGATCTTGAGTTGGAGGCAATCGCACCTACCGTCCCCTCACTATTAAATTAAGTGCCTGCGTTCAAGTAAATTATATTATTCAATGGTAATATCATGCCGCGCGTTGATTACTTGTGTAGCCGCTGTTTACGATACCTGGTATTTTTACGAATTAACGATACAATCTCCTTGAAAATGAGTTCACAACCGCGCACACTAACCGCTATATGCAATACACGTGCTGATAACTACAATGCAACACGGCTGCGATAACAATTAATACAAAGCAGCGTCTAAGCGGTTAACAACAGCAGCAAAAGCACTTTATTACGCTTATACTTTTCAAAACCGGACGGACTTGAGAAGATTACAATGAGTACCGAAAACGAAAACCCAGATGATGCGCCGAAAAAAGCTTTAATTTACATCTGTGGAGGTAAAGTATCAAACGAGTATACATCGTGTTAATTTTAGTCGTTTTTCAACATAAATCGAGAATCTACAGCCCTTAACTATTTGTCTTGTTTTTTATATTAAACCACAACAACAGCGTGTCAAGCTGAAAATGAAATGAAACCTAAAGATCCGATCCGATGCAGAGAATGCGGTTACCGAATCATGTATAAGAAACGAACAAAAAGATGTATCCTTTTGGTATTTAAAGTAGTATATTCACATAATTATTGTGTACATTTTAATAGTTATGTGTATTAACAGGGCTCGGGAGTTAAAGCATTTACTTATTTTTATGGCTTTACTTAAAATGTAGCAAAGTGCTATAAAAGTGTATGTCAACTTATAACATGTACAATTTTGAAATTCCCTTTTTTTGGTTTTTTCAGCAATTTTTCAATAAAATGCTTATTTTCAGTTTTTTTTTATTTTTTTTGCTTATTAGACCAATTTTTTTTACGTTTATATAGTTTTCCAAAGTAGTTTTTGATAGAATTAAAATTAAAAATAATTCTTATCTTATCTATGTTGTCACATAGTTCATCGCCGTCCGAGACATTGTTGTAGGGTTAACAAAGAAATTCCAATGCTGAAAATAAAACTGGGTGTTAAACATCAGAATGATCAAGAACAGAGAGAACAGTTTACATTTTTTTTTTTTTGAATAAATATTTTTGCTTTGTTTTTATTTTTTTTAAATGCTTATTTTAGTGCTTATAATGATGTTTTTAAGGGCTTATTTTAATGATTTTAAGTTCTATAAGTTCCGAGCCATGTTTATTAACTATAAATTATTTTCAAAATTTAAGTCAATCTAAATAAAATTAAAATGGGACTTGGTTGACATTATATCGTTTGTTTATTATCCTACCTTCAATTATCAATAATCTATTAAAAATTGTATGTAATTATATATAATTAAACATGATTTACAGCTAATATTTATTGCTTTATCATAAATATAATTAATCTAATGAAGTAACATTTAAACATTTCAAAGGATTAGAGAAATTGATTCGGTAATACTATTTTTCTAAAAAAAAATATTGCTTAAGTAAACTCATTGTTATATACTAGTCATACTGCTTTTTATTCAATCAATATCATATATATCAAATTATCAAGAATGTAATTCATGTTTCACTGGCAACTTAACATTTACTTTATCTAACAAATTTATTTGTAAAATGCAATGTACTTTATATACTGAACTACAAAATGTTGTCTAGGCAGCATATTTGAGTTCTGAAATTATATGAATTGCAATGTAAACATTTTAGATTTTGTTCATTTCAACTAGTTTCCTAAAGTTACCTGCCTGCCTTAAATGGAAGTTTTATTTTTTTCTCTTATCAATTAAAATATAGCTATTGTAGCAATGGATAACATATAATATTGATTGTTTTTGAAAAGTATTTGAAAGAAAAATAATTGCAATGTGTGTTTTGATCTGTTTCATTGTAATATGATTTTTATAATGTTTCAATATATGCTTAAATAGTATCACTAATACTATTTTAGTTCTTCTAAAGGATTGTAATATTAATTATTTTATATTTTAGCATTAAAGTTATATTATTAGTCCATAGCATACATTTTTGTTGTACCTAAAGTAGTCGTATTCATTTTCTATAATTCAATACATATATATTTACTGTTTTATTCTATTTAAACATATTTTCAGTTAAATACATGATACACATAACAGCTGATTTTTGTGTATATTCAAAATTAATATTTTATGGTTTTCCACTATGTTTATTTCATCAAACAACACTTTCTTTTTTCTCCTTATGCATATTTTATGTGCTATAAATAAATTATTAGCTATTGATTTCTTTGTATTTTCACCAATGTCAAATATTTTTTTTGTAATATGTTAGAAATTATTCAACTGGTTAATATTACACTTTTATAAGTTATTAGTCAATTCATTTATGTTAATGTAAGATTCTTTTTAGTCATGTAGACATTGTATTTATGTAGTACTAGCTATTATAGCATATTTATTTCAAATTTAATAATTATTAATCAATAAAATTAAGATTATACTAATATGTACTGAGGGATTTTTAATTCTTAGAGTATGAAAAATAACAAATTTTTAGTAAATAAATATTTGTAAAATAATTTAAAATAAATTATTTGTACTTTAAAAACTTATTAAAATTTTCCTTCACTAATTATTTTTAGTGGTTGTTTTTAGCGCTCGATGAACATTATTCAAGTACATGATGTTTACAGAAGTAATAACAGTTTAATTTTGTCTACAATTTTAAATTTTAAATTGTATAATTGATCATTTTTATGATTTCTTTGTATTTGAATTTTCTTTACTGAAATTATAAGTTATAAGTTCTCTAATATTATGTATTTTATTTTTTTATTAATCTCATTAATTAATTAAGTGAATTATGTGTAAGTTATTGAATCAAACATTTTTAAATAATTATCTTAATGATTATTATTCGTGTATTATAAAATTATTTATGTATTATAAAATATTTATTTTATTTTCAAGCAATATTTATCCTTATTAGTTATTAATTTGTAAAGTTTTGAATGTATAGCATTGAAATACTTGATGTGTGCTATAGATAATGTATATATACATTGATAAATTCCATTTAAATTTAAATATATAAAATAATTATTTCATAATTAGAAAACAACACTGTGTCATTAGTAAATTGTATAATCTTAAAAAAAAAAACAAGATTATTAAAATCTAATTATTTGCTCAAAACCAAGCAATATTAAATACGGATAACTTTGAATTCATACAGTTAATAGTTGTATAGATCAAACAGATGATTTATTAAAAAATAACAAAACTACTCTGTTAAGTGAGATACAGGGATTGGTAATTATATGATTATTACAAATTATATTATTGGTCTTATAAACTTGAAATCAGTGTACCATAATCTGAAAAACGTCTCTTGTTGAAGGATGTCACACGAATCAGATTATATTTCATAAAATGTTTAATATAGTAGAAAAAATCAAAGTTTTGATATAAATTAAGCTTTTAATATTTTAATTTTCGCAATGAATAAGCATTTGAAATTTTGAATTGTGAAAATCGAACATTTTAAGTGTTTTTTAACTAGGTAAACAACTAAAATTGTTTGGTGGAAATTCATCGAAATATCCGGTTTTGCGAAATTTCATTTTGTAACACTACATACACAACAAAAATAATTTCTACGACTTTCCAGTATTTTTTTCTATGTAGGTATATGAAAAATCTTGAATCGAATTTTCAAGTCTTAGTATAAAAATTGAAAATTGTATGAAATTTTTTTTACAATAATAATGTACCAAGCAGATTTTCGTGGTTTAAATCGTTTTGTCAAAATTTCGTATTGAATGCTTATAAAATTTCTTTTTGATTTTAATTTTAATTTATTTATTTTTTAATCTTGAAACATCACGGAATTCTGAATTATTTAATAGTTGTAATTAATATTACAATTGGCTATTGTATATGCTGTTTATATTATATTAATCGATTTAATTAAACTTACATTTTTTATTATTAAAATGTGTTATAACATTTTAATCATACAAGTGTTTAACCTTTCCAGTCCCCAAGTCTTAATATTACAGATTCTGAGCTGAGCAAAATACCTATTCAATAATTTCAAATTTTTGTTTGTGTCCTACACGTTCTTTTTGAAAAAATGTTTTGATTTTCAATTTCAAAACTTCAACAATATACTGAGCAATTGCCGAAATTAAACAAAATACAGAATAATATGAGACAGACAGAAGTAATAAGATCTCTTTATTTTTCTTCTATATATTATCTGATATGTTCTAATTAATTTTTTTATTTATATTAAATTATTTTCACTGGATTTTATTTTGGTAGGTGAATAATAGGTATAAAAATAAAACTAAGAACTTGTGAAGTACAAACGAATAATACTATTTTATTATAGATTGTCAATTTGTATAGTCATTCAATAGTTGGGGTATTTGTTGATTAGATTTTTCATTAGTTGGTGGTGCCCTCATTAGTCATTACCCAAATTTTAATTAAAAAGTCGGTTTCGGTTTCTTTATAAATATTTTTATAGGTTCTAGTAAAGTAGTGGCGTAAATTGGATCCAATTTTTGGTGGTGCAGAGGCATATCTCAACTTATAATTTCCAACACCCCAATTTTCCGATTTTCTAAGTAAAATTCTTCCCAATAAACTATATATTTTCCCATATATTTCTTTAAATAACAATTACATTTTGAATTATTTTAGCATTAAAACCTTTATTATTACATTATTAATAAAAAAAAAAAAACAAGCAAATTTTGTATGCTGATTTCTTTAGTTCTTGAAAATAATATTATAGGTATACAAATTTCAATAATTTTCTGGTGGTGCAAAAACATATTTTTGCACCACCCAGTTTACGCCACTGTAATTAAGGTTTCAGTTTTAATACTTTAAACCATTTCGATCCGAAACCGATATTTTTCAGTTAAATTCAAATTCCTGCTTTAAATTGTTGGTTAGCCATTTTTGCTAAAAATAGTACATCAAATACGTATATTGATAACATAAAAATAATACATTTTTCTTTGATTACTTAGAACTTCTACAAAGGCAAACTAGATAGCTGTCCAGGTCACCGGTCAATATTATAAAATATGCCTAATACGAGTACTTATGTTTAATATCATGTCAGTCGTAATATCAGTATTTTGTAGGGAAGCCTTAAACATTTTAATGGGATGCAGTGACCGGTTACATCAATAGTCTTACCAACTTAGGTTGGTATAATAGTCATATAAGTGTATTTCGTTTAATTTTAATGATTATTTACACCGTAGTATTTTTATACTTAAATAGATTGAATTATAAACTTATTGACAATACTTTTTTCAAATTTTTTTCGTTTTATTTCGAAAAAATTACGTATGAATATAGTAGGACAAGATACTGTTGAAAAAATTAGACGAAATTCTTATTTTTGAATATCGTTAGTCTATACTTGCTGGAGGTGAAGAGTTTTTCTTGACACAATTACGATTTATTGCTGCGAATTAAAAGAGAACACGAGTTATATGTTATAAATAAATAATATGTGCCGTACATAATATTATGTTCAGCACATCATACAGCCGAAAAGTTTGTTAGGGGAGGCAACATTCACCCAGAACGCTCCGGAATGCAATTATGGTGGCTTGATAGCTACGATGACTCCCACTACTACTTACTGAATAATATATGTTTAGTTCACAGTTAAACGACAAATGACGTTCGTCACATCATCAGCTTGACATACGTATTAATTAGGATAATTTTTTTTTCTTTTCTGTAATCCAAATTGTGTTGTAATTTAAAAAAATATTAGTATTATGAATTTTGTATTAATGTAACCCAAGATTTTCAATTGGCAATACAAGTCTTGAAAATTAATTTCATTACAAACTAAATTTAAAAAAATTATAAATAATAAATAATAAGTTAAATAGCTTGGATCTAAAGGGTTTTCAACATCAGTAAATCAATAATTTTTAATCATACTTGTTCTGTCACAGTGCATTTAGGACTAGCTTACTCCACTAATATATTCAACAGTAGAATTGTCCTTTTGAACAATACCAGTACTAGGGCAGTGTATTCTACAACAGTATATTCAAAGGAGGAATAACATTTTTTATCCACTTAAAACAAAAATAATTAAATTATTTTCAATCCCATATTTAATTCAATACAAGATTATCTTGTCAATATAAACAATGTAGAGAAGTGGGATTTAAAGTTTTCAGTTAGAATAAAATAAACAATAAATAAACAAATGCAAAAATTAACAACAATTTTGTTTTATTACTATATAATTGAAATTCCTAGAAAATTAGGAATAGAAAATTAGATGAGTTTTATTTACTCCCTTAGAATTTCCTTCAAGTCTAGGTAATAATATATTACAGACTTATTATTTTAAAAACGACTAAAACAATGGAAAAAAAAATTGAGTTTACTGTTTAAGTGTCTACTAAATAACCAAAAAAAAAAAAAAATATATATATATATTAAAATTAAAATAAAACAAATGTTAACCACATAATTTATACACAAGTAACTATAATAAAATAAATAGTGGAATTTTTTATAGAACAGTTATATAATAGTTACGAATAATTTGATAATTATGAAAAACAATAAACACGCGATTGATATGAATGGAAAATAAACAAATGTAATATTTGAAAGGAGTATTTATAATAACTTTTTGAACTAATAAACAAATTTAATGGCAGATTTTCATATATATATATATATACACACACATATATATTTATGTATATATAATATCTAGGTAATTTATATACTTCCATCAGAATATACGATTAAATTACAAATACATTGGAATGTTTAAACACATCTTATCTGTACGCTCACTTAAAATATTAATTAAAAACACTAATAGTTTTTTTTTTTTTTTTGTAAACTTATATACTTCAATTATGTTCTATTATAACATTTAAATTAACCAGTAACCATGTAAGCCTGCACTAAATTTACAATGAATGTAAAAAACGTTTGAAAAAAAAATTATTAATAATAATTCAAACTATGTATTTTTGTCAAATTGTAGTACTACAAAATTTGTGCTGAACTGCAGTAGGAGTATCCATAATTTAGTATATTATTATTAGTGTACGTTACTCAATAAGATGGAGAACAATCGCACACTCGCCTAAGTTTAGATTGCATCACATCGCATAGAGTACTTAATATTTGAGGGTCATCCCCTCGAAGTTAAGTAACATTTAAAAGTGAGAAGGGAACAATATTTAATAATAACTCATTGAAACATAAAAAAAAGTTAATAATTATAATAAAAAACAAAATATAACCTTTGATACATGAAAATGGCCATCATTTTATTTAAATATATGTGTTTAAAATAGTTTAAAGATTATTACTTATTTTGCTACGTGAATGGAAATATGGTTTTGAAAGCTGGGAAGGAAAATACACGTAACTACATATAGGTGAGTGGCGCAAGGATACAAAAAATTGGTTTCCTTTCAACTAAAATGTTTATAATACGGTATATTGTTTGTATTGACAACTGAGCGTCAAATGGGTGTTCACGGTTGGTTTTTATTATTAATTTTTTTTTTTTTTTTTTGTAACAAAAAAATTTCTTTTCTTTTTATTTATTCAAGGGGCAAATTGTTTATTTAGTGTAAAGGTAAATTGCAACAATCAGTCCATACAATCCCAATACTTCAGCGAAAATTAGGATCAAGATCATTCCTACGAATAATCTGGGCTGCTGGGCTGTACCTCTGACACCAGCATCACCAACAATACCAATAGCGAAACCAGCAGCTAAACCACTGAAACCTACAGAGAGGCCAGCACCAAGATGAATGAATCCCCTATAAGAACAAAAATTAGTTTGTATCTAGTGTTTGTCTCTATTCACATTAATTTGAAGTCATATTTATACATATTTACAAACTTACTTAAACAGGGAATATTTATCAGGCTCTTCTAGGGCACCTGCTATTAGGACAGCTACTACAAGACCATAAATAGCAATGATACCAGCCATGACAACAGGGATGATGGATTTCATTATAAGTTCTGGCCTCATTACTGACATGGCAGCAATACCAGTTCCTGATTTTGCTGTACCATATGCAGCACCAAGAGCTGAAAAAAAAAAATGAATTAATAACACTACAGAAAAAAATAAAGAAAAATTAACTTTAATCTAAATAATATAATTATGTATAAATTTTTTTTTTAAAAATACCATTAACTATAGATAGATTTGAAACTAAATAAACTAACAGAATTTATTAAACTATCACTGAGCTATATATATAACAAGCATAAAGAATTGATAAGACATACAGAAATACTAAGAAAATTTCAAAACATACATTTATAAGTACAGACTTCAACAGTTACTTGTCAATATTTTTTTTTTTTTTTATTATTAATTTATAATATGGTATGAGATATTAATTTCATTAATTTTAATTAATATATTAATTCTATGAAATACTTAATAATTTTTAATAATAATAAGCTTTATTGTTTATGTTAAGTATTGAAAAACAAAAAAACAACTATTTCAGTATCAAGTACATTCAATTGTATTTTTATTTTAATGTTGAATCAATTTCAATTCTTTGTTATACATAAAATACCTATAACAATTTAAAATGATTGTAGGGATTGGTAATTTATGTTTAACATCATAAACCGTTTAATTAGAAATACACAAATTACTTATTAGTTCTAACAGAAAGAAAGTATATTATGAATTGCACAATTACTAATATAAATGAGATTTTAACTGCAATGAATTTGATGTAATGACCTAATGGTAACACCCATATTGATAATTATTTAGATAATTGTGTACAATATAAAGTAATGTTAAGTTACAATTTAAACAGTAATACTATCATACTGTCACATTTCTATAAGTATTATTAAACATTTCATGAAGTAAAGAAGCTACAATTTAAAAATGGATGAAATGTAAAAAAAAGGGTGCGGCTCATCAAAATTATCAACATCCAAAATCATAGAGAAAAGCAACACAATACATACTTAATTCTGGAAATTAAGAATTTTTAATTACTAAGGAATATATAACATGATAATATATACATCATAATAATGTTAGTAGCAGAATGGGTTTTTTTCTCATTAAGAAATAAATGAATAGGGGATATGAAAAATAATTTAAGAAATAACAACGTATGACTGAAGAACGTGTTGTTATTAAAACCCTTAAGATGGCCAAACAATTAATTAATCTAAAGAACTCCACAAACGGAAAAAACCAGAATCCAAAATATCCAATTTTCCCAAATTGGTTCGAATATAAGTAAATGACCTTCAAGCACCGCGCCCATGATTTTAAGAGATTGCTTCGAATGATGTTCACTTTTCGGGATAAAAGGTAATAATAATCGGTTATGATGAAATTGAGGAAAATGCATTATAAAATTTAAAGTGCAGACCGGAGACACCAAGATATGGTTTTCAACGAAAAAAAATCACACGGGTCACGCCCATGCCTATATTAAATGTGGGACACATTAGTACACGCGAACAGGTTGCATTCGACGGCCACCGCCGCCGTCGAAGCAAAACAAAACAGAAAAATCGGAATTTTCAGGATTCAAAGATTAAAATCTGGAATATCAAGAAAACAAGTTCACGTGATGTGATAAGATTTGGAGAAAGTAATATGACTTCAGTCATGATAATGTCTGATGGTAAAAAAAAAAAAAGGTATTTTACATGGCGTTAACCTCGGCTAACGACACAGCAACATCACAACGTTTAACCTCGACACAATGTGGACAATACCAAGGTTTATCGCCGGCGAAATGGGTCATGTGAAAATCGGTTGGAAAAAATTGGCATTTTCGGGGTTTACACGAGGCGGGAAAGCAGACAGGGATAGAGGCGAAATCGCAGCGGAATTAAATAAAACCAGACATCGATCAGTGGAACGTAGAATGTAGAATATTGTCAATTCCGGCTAGCGATGGTTATCAGGCCACGCCTAACAAACTCGTGCGTAAGGCGGCAAAAAAACCTGATTGACAACAAAGGTCCCGCCGTGATGACGATTTAGATCAAGAAAATCAACAAGAAACTTTTTGCCGACGATCGAGTTCCAAATCGCGCACATCTCGACCGCCATCAGAACGGAGCGATGATCCCGTATAAACAGACAGTGGTGACGGCGGCGGCGTTCTATAGCGGGTGGGTGTGGCGGGCGTGAGAGACATGGGTTTTCGGCCGCAGCTTTCAGGCCAAATGTCCCAAGCTCAAGCGCAAATCGATAAAACGCCGACAGGCGACCGTAGACTTATGTGCGTGTGCGCGCGCGATGACACAAGCGGTGCGGAGAGTAACTCCATGGTGGTAAATGAGCGGAGTAATCGAAAACATTTTAAACCAACACCCGTCCGTTACATAAAACACGATACATGATATTGGTCCGACAATAATAATTGAACAACAACCATAAAACTCTACACCAGTTCATGCTTACCGCTAAATATGATGGCCGATGCCGCGCCCATGACGCCGAAGAACGGCCCGTAAATTGGGTTTGTTTCCGAAGTGCTCATTTTTCTGTCACAAAGTCGCGGGCGTTAAAAAAAAGAAAAGAAATTAACTAAAACCTTACGGAAAAAAAAAAAAAAAAAAAATGGTCCAACTCAAACGTAGAACGCAAGTTGTACGGCGACGACGGAGACGGACGACGACGTTCGATCGGACTCGCGTGCGCGTGGAAAATAGAAAAATCCAACGGGGCTAGATCGTGCGAAAGTGTGTGTGTGTGTGTGTGAGTATGTGCGGCGGGACGCGTTCGCCGATGATAAAAATTTAAGACTATGTACGCGGTCAGTTACGAAACCAGTAACTAACGGGCGGACGGGGAAAAAAAAAACCGTGACAAACGTACAATGAACGCACGGTACACGGTACTATCGGCGCGCGGTGATCGTTGCCAGTGGTGGTAGTGGTAGTGGTGGTGGTAGTGGTGGTGGTGATGATGGTAGTGGTCTGGTGATGGTAGTGGTGGTGGTGTGAGTGATGGGAGTGGTGGTGGTAGTGGTAATGGTGGTGGTACCGACAGTGGCGACAACGGCGACGAGCCACGAAGACGGTTTGCGGCCTGCAAAACACTGCTCGGCATCAAGATGGCCGCGGACTTTCGGCAGCGGTGCGCGGCGGTCGTTGCCCAACGCTCGAGCGCGCGCGCGCCAAATTCAAACGCGTCCACGCCCAAAGCACTCGACGAAACCGCGGCTGGTCGAACGACCCAAAGGAAAAATACCATTTTCCTTTTTCAACACGCCAACACCGTGTTTGATATTATAGTTTTAAATTATTTGTTTATTTTTGGTGTCACAAATGTGAGATTTACTCCTTTCATATGATTATATTATACTTGTCAAATGTCTGTAAAATATTATTAATGTCTATACTGTATAGATTGTAATTTTTTCAAATAAAGTCATGTATTTAATAAATCATTATTATAAACCACCATAATGTTCGTAAAATTCATTTTGCGTATTACTACGTTTTCTTGTTCACATCTAATTCAGCTCATCTCAAAAGTAGGTATGGATTTTTTTTCGAATTTTCATCAATTTGGATTCAGTGTGATCTTAATGGCACGTTTCTCATACTAGAATAATTTTCGAATTTTTAACGCATGAACTTATGATTCCATTTTACGATTATATTAATGTATTATATCATTATATACGGTAAAAGACTATCCTTTTCAGATATAAGTTAAAAATGGATTCTTAAACAGTAATTTACCTAACTTGTGTTCCGTATTTAAATATTATTGTATCAAATTTGTGCTTAATATCCATCTATAGTATCATAATTTAAAATAATATTTAGGGAAAAAAATTAATTAAATTATTGATTAGAAACTTCGATATGAAAAGAGACTGGAGTTTTTTTTCAAATACAGAATGCATGTGACATATTACATGATTGCGATTAACTCGGATGAAGTTTCCACAAATAATCCACAGATTTCCAATGACACCTTTTTAACAATCATCAATCTATCTGTAGAACTCATAATTATATTAAAAATATTATTTAAAATTTTATCATTGTATGTAAATGAAAATGTTGATATTTTGTACGATAAAATATACTTATTACATTTTTTTGTATAAACCGCATGTACCACAACAGAACATATGTAATGTGACAAACTGTGCTAATTGATGCGGAAAACAATTTTAATATCTCAAGACAAGGTCAAAGCATAGACTGTAGTTTATGCGACTATAATGAAAAAAAAAATTATATGTATAATAACTACTTGGAATCATTAATTGTTATCTATTTATTTTATAATATATATTTTATTACTATTATTACTATTCATATCGAGTGTTTCTGGTTTTAAATATAGGAAATTTAAGAGCTATATAGTATTGAAACAATTCATTTCTTATATTTTAAACTGTATAATATAATTATATACAAGGTATATGTATATATTTGTCGATGGATTGATAGGTTTGTGGAATTGCTGAAAAACATTTTAAAGATAATATCGTTCTATTTTATACATACACTTATAATTTTGTTATTTAATCACATATATTACGGATTAAGTTTAACTAAAAATGTCGAGTAGGTTACATGTAGTACTCGTTGAATTATGGAAGGCGAATTTCACCTATTTTGTTCAATACAAATTGATAATAATTTTACATATTTTTATTTTAAAAAATTATAAAATAATATTTATTTATGTAGGTACGATGTTCGTTAAATGTATTTTTGTCCTTTTTATAAAATGGCTATTTTTGTATTTTCAAGCGTATGTTTTTAATTTTTTATTTAATACATAATATTATTTAGAACTTATAATATTCACCTTAATTATTCTTTGAAATAATATATCTTTTTGATTTATATCAATATAATACATTCAATACATATTGTTTTTTTATTAGATTTTAATATATAATACGATTATGTAAATCAGTTTTAAATTTTAAATAGGTTGGTAATCTACTATAACCATAGGCGCAGTTTAGGGAGGGGGCTTGGGTGTGCTTAGCACCCCCAAATGTGTTTATGTTAATTTACACTTATATACTCATTACTCATTATGTATAGAAAAACATAATAGTTTTTGAGTTTTATTGTATAAATATATAAATTTTTATACAATACGAAAATAAACATCTTTGCTATAAGGTAAAAGTTTCAAATTTCTAGCCACATTACTTTTGGAGTTATGACTAAATAACTAAAATTTGTAACGTGAAAGTCTTATTTACAGCGTATTTTTACCATTTTAGGACAGTTTTTTCCTAGCGTCTAGAAAAACTATTAAGATTTAAAAAAAGTACCTATCTAAAGTACCACCGCATGTCAATTTAAAATCTAAAAAAGGTCCTAAAAAAAACTTTTGGATCAGTATTTCTATCCGAAAAAGTGTTTAACAAATAAAATACAAACATCATTATAAAACCATAATATCCTTCGCTTCAGTCAGAATCTAAAAGTGATCATGTGATAAGACATTTGTGTTTACAGACAGGTAATTCGTTATACGCACATTGAAAATATAAAATCGAAGTGAACAATTTAAATTTAGAAGTATTCATATACTTACTAAATATTTTAGTAACTGTTGAATTGTACGGTTTACGGATGTCCATAACCATTAAGGAACATGAAAAAGGCCGAAGGGCTTCAGCACCCCCAGTATTTTCATTGAAATTGAGCGGCTGAATATAACTACAGTCTGCTGAAATGCCCCGAAGAAATACATTAAGAATTAGAAAAAAACATATATTCATTAATTTTATTTTTATTTTCTACTCAAAAACTTACTATTGGTTTATCAGTTATTTTAAATTATTTATCATCTAATCATTGTTTAAAATTATAATGGACTTCAAAATGATATACAGTTAATGGTTCATACATTTGACCATGTAATACCTAATTATTTAATTAACCATTAACCTCTTGTAATGTAACTACTACTATAAAATGATACTACAATGAGCGATTAACAATGAACGATTTTTTTTTTTTTAATGTTCTCCAAAAATGATAAAACTATTATCATTTTACTTATATATTTTTTATAAAACAAAATTAAATGTCATAATGTGGTCTTATAGAATTGTTTTATCTTTATCTGTGTAATAAATTATAGATAAAATCGTAGACAATGTCGCCATATATGTCCTATAAGTATTTATAAGTATTATCGTATTAATAATCAATAGTATTAGTTATATTTTATTACTTAATATGATTTTATTTTAATGAATAAAATATTGTTTTTTTTCGTACAATAAAAACTACATTGAAAATATTTTAATGCAACCAATTCAATAATATTTATATGTATAATCATAGAATTTATTGATCCGTATATTTTTATTATGAGAATAGTATGTTCTAATAAAGATTTTTTTTTAAATAATTTAGTTTAGGTTTAAACCAGAAATTGTTATGACAGTTAAAAAGTAAAATCGTTTTTTAGTATGTTAATATTTATGTGTTAAATATGCCTAAGTCCTAACCATGAATTGTATTCAAAACGAATATGTTATTTTTTAACATTCTAACAGAAAATAGGGTATTCGTTTCGCTTAATTTTGAAACTATGTGAAATTAAAACATTTTGTTCTTTATTTTACATATTAACATAATAATACCATTAAAACAAGATATCTAAAGAATAAAAGAAATATTTTTATTTTTAATATTCACATTCTATAATTTTAATTTATAAATTGAACGAAGAAATGAAGTACAATATTAAGTTAAGAGTTACTATCTACTGTCTATTCTGCCTACTAATAATAAATACCATTATAGCTGTTTAAAATAATTGACCAGAAAACTATTTTCACGAGTCAAATTAAAACACATGTCTAGAATAATATTAAATTTAATTAATGTCTATTTTCAAATTAATTTAGTTTTAGTCAATTTTAACATAAGTTTCTTAAACACATCTTATAAATAAACATGAATACAGTCACAAAATGATGTCTAGAATAGATAAATAAATATAGGTTTTCAAGAGAATAATAATTCGATATATTAAAACTCAATTTTGAAGAATGTAATATAAAAAATAACAATGAATTAAAAAAATTACCAACAAATTAATATAGGGTTATATGTATTATATAAGAAAAAGTATTGTATGGATTGGATAAGCGTGCAAGTTCATTAGTATTATTATAAAGAAGCAGTAGATAGTAAGTAACTTAAATGGGAATAGAAGCCGAGGGGTGAATAAAGTTGAATAGATTGAGTTATGACCAAGGCCGGATTGAAGAAATTCGAGCGACCGAGTTTTCCGTACGTTAACGGTTCACTTAACAAACTGACGGCCCTTACCCAATTTTTTTTTTTTTATTATATATTTCAATAGGTACATTAATCTTTACTAATTAATATTTAGTACGAACACTACGAAAAACACTATGTTATATTATGTAAGTTAATAACATTTTTTAATGGTTGTTAAAATGTAATAATTTCAGCTAGTTTAGGTTTATTATGTTGCTATACATATATGTGTGATTTCTCCAAATGTATTCTCATAATATCAACCTGCAGAATACAATACATAAATACATGTACATTAATTATCCGGCATAGCAAAATAAATACCCAATGAGCAATGATTAATACATAATAATATGCAAGGCTGGGCAAGTTAAGGATTGTTTAAGTTAAGTCAAATTAAGTTACTTATTTTTTTTTCGTTAACTCGTTAAGTTAAAAGTTAACTTTGAAAAAAAAAGCAGTTTAAACTTAGTTTAAAGTTAAAATTTCCTAATTTGCAAAAAAAAAATTGCACACATAATATTAGTTTTTTTACGCTCAAGAAAATTACTGGGGAAATTTAAAATGATACATCAAATTATTAACTAGATATCAAAAAACCTATTTTTCTAAAATAAATCTTAGTCCTGAACTCATACTCAAATCAATTTACAATTTTAATAATGAAATTAAATTGGAAATTATACCACAGTTATTTTATGATTATTCCCCCATCGACACTCGCTCTCATGGTATTTACTATTTTCACAGAATATTTTTAGGATTTCCATGGGTTTATAGTGTTTATACGTACAATAACAATGTTATAAAAAAAAATGATAAAATATAGCCCATATAATGACTATTCAAGTTATTTTTCTTATTAATTTCGTCTGCAGGAATTTCATATTAAAATAGTAAATTATAAATATACTAAAAACCTCATTTAATAATTTACATTATTCTTTGCACTAAAATTAACTTAATTTAGATACTTTTAAATAAAATTAACTTAAAGTTAACACGTTAACCTTAAAAGGAAGTTACTTATTAACTTAAAAGTTAATTTGAAAAAAGTAACGAGTTAATTAACTTAACGTTTTATCTTAATTTTAACTTTTAACTCGTTAATACCCAGCCTTAATAATATGTTTATGGTAAAGTGAGATAATTAAATTGGAATGTTAAAAGTGACATATCCACATATAGGTAATATATTATATAATATATATTGTGCTAACTGAGAACCCTCAATATTTTTGCGTAGAGATCTGAAATTTGAGTTCTTATGCTACAGTAGGAACAAATACAGCCATGACAAAAAAATAACAAGTAAACATAAAATGGTGAAATATAATTTTAAATTGTTGCCAATTTAACGTCAAAATTAAACGCTAACATGTTTAGTAGAAATAATAAAATGCATTATAATATTATTGATTGTTATTTATACAATAAGTTAGCTATATTTCTGATTTTGTTTAATATTTTAGCATAACATCGCTTACTTTTTTAGGTAAATTTGTGTTTTTGTATCCGTGTATTTAAAAGGTTTGTACAGTGCATTTTTTAACTAGTTAACTAGGCGACATAAATGTCGCCCAGTGATTATGTCTCTGTCGACAATATTTTGAAAGATTGGGCGAAATAATGCGAAACAAACATGTAATACTATAGTTGTACTATGATATTACATTGACTATTTTGAGAAAAACATTTTTTGTCACACAATGAAAATTCCTTATGAAATGCACTAGGTTTGTAAGGTATTTTGTATTATTGGTTAGAACCTCAGAATTTTAAAACTAACTACGAGGATATTGCAAGTGCAACCCATTTTTAATTTTTACCTTTTTCATAACCTATGGTGTACTCCTATATTGATAAAGATAGCAAACAACCTCGTGAACTATCAAAGGGAATAATAATATAATACTTTCAAAGATTCATTGTATTATAGCATACATAAGCAATATTATGAATTCATATAAATATATTATTTCATCATTCCCTTTCAAATTTTTAAAATTTAAATGACACACATTTAAAATAATAACTGATTTATACCATGTTAGGGTTTAAAACTTATTTTTAAAGTACCTACATTCAATGTAAGTATATGTAATGTTAATTAATTGAGAATCCTGCATATTACAATGATGAATATTTTATTCCAGAATTTTAGGTAAGTACAAAAATGAAAAAAATAACACGAGTTACGTCCTCGTGGGATGTAATATATTTCAAAAAGTACGTTTATATGACTCGGGATGCAATTTATATGTAGGTACACTAAACTGCCATAAAAAACGGATGTGTAGTGTATGTATTGCACACAGGCACCCGGCTTCATGATATATTATAGAGGGCAAACCTTTTATGATTCAAGTGCTAAATTTTTCCAATTAAGGTTTTGAAAACCGTTCACGTGCCCAAAGATAATTATATTTTCTAAGAATAAAAAATAAAATTACAGATTTATTACATTATTTTAATTAAACTTTAGTCTTTCTTAGTGAAACACAAGCAGCAATTGTTTCATCGATCAAGACATTTCTTTCCTTCGATTTAATTAAATTGGTTATGGTGAATAAACTTTCACAAACATAAGTTGACGAAAAAATATGAAAGTAAAAGAAATATTGTCATTTTTAAAATATTTATATAATTTTATTCTTTGAATTTCTTATAACCAACATTTTATAAATACTATAATATATTATTTTTTTGTGTACAATTTTTAATAATTTCAATTTTTTGATTTTTGGAATTTAATTATTTGTTACAATAAACAATAAAAAAGCATACTAAAACTGTATACATATAGATTTTGTCTTATATTACAAAATCTTATTTTTTTTTTAACATAGCTCTTAAATTACTTCATCGGGTGTGAGGTTTATATCCCAGTGGTTAGATAACATTACAGTGCTGTAACCCAACTACTCTAAGCCCGTGTGCAAATCTAAATCTTGAGACCCCTTGTCGTTATAAATTTTTGAGCATTTGACCTTCTGAGGTCCCATAATATGGTACGAGATCCAAGGCTTATGTGCATAACCTGTTTTTACGGCACTATAACATTGCAGGTCCATTTAGTTTAAACTAACGGTTCCCAACCTTTTTAGTTTCGCGGACCACTAATTTTGTAAAAATATATTTGAGGCCCACCTATAGTATACCAATATACGTTTTCATAAAATTATAATGTATATATATACTTGTATATATAGTTATTAGGAATTAAAAAATTAAAAAATTAAAAAAACAATTGTTTATTAAAAAAAACTTAATTTAACTTTATCACAAGATAAACAATTTAATGTGATTTTTGACATTGCTTGTTCTTCAGGAAAAAGTCAACATCTGAATTAAAACTTTATAGTTTTAGTCTTAAATCATCTCAACATTCAGTTTATTCCTATATCTATTTTTTAAATAAATTAAAATAGAAAAAGCACGTTCACATAGATAAGTTGTCGAGAAGCCCATCAAGTTTCTCAGTGTGATTTTAGCGATTACTCGATAGTCTTTCCGAACATTTAACCAGAATGGCACTAATTGTGTACTTTAAAATGCAATTTTAAAGCCTGATCACATGACATTTAAATCAACGAATCTTCTTCAGTTGCTGAAATTTTCAATTTTTTCAAGTAATCTTCTTCAAAGGGATTTCTGATCCATTGGATTTCTTCATCAATTTTAGGGAAGTAGTTTCTAAAAACAGCGTAAAAATGATTTCAAGTATGCCTATTAAAAAATATTGATTTGTAATTAAGAAAAATAAATAATTATAATTAACCTGAGGTTGGAATCTAAAGATTTGAGGTGATCTTGTATAGTTGTAGCTATTGATTTTTCAATTTTAACTTCGTTAGTTTCAAGAAAATCATGTAGGACTGGAATGCATCGAAGGAATCTTGTTCTACTTTCAGAGCACATCGTTGAAGCTTGATTATCATTGCATTAACTTTGTCTTGCACTAAAAACTTATGAATGTCTTTGTCTTGCAGAATTAAATTAAGAACGTTGAGGGCACCAAAAATATCCGCCAAATACACCAACCGTTTCAACCAGTTTTTATCGGTCACCAATTTTATGTAAGAACTTGCAAGTTTTCCATCATAGTCCCCTTCTATAAGGAAAACCCTAAGTTCATCACGAAGCAAAAACAATCTTGATAAAACTTTACCTCTTGACAGCCAACGAACTTCACAGTGAAGTAGAAGCTGTTTGTGTTCACTTCCCATTTCATCACACAAAACACCAAACAGTTTGGAATTTTTAGGCCTTGCTTTAATAAAGTTAAAGATTTTAACTGCATCATCAAGAGTTTTTTTAAGACACTCGTCCAAACTTTTAACTGCAAGAGCCTCTTTATGTATGCTACAATGTGTTTATTGAACTAAGGGAGCAAATTACCTAACTCTGGCAATTAATTCATTATGAATTCCAGACATAGCACCTGCCCCATCAGTTGTCAAACCTACACACTTTGACCAATCTACTTTGTTCTCTTTTATAAAGCTCTCAACAGATTTAAAAATCTCTTCGCAAGTTATTTTTGTCGACAAAGACTGGCAAAACAGTATTTCTTCTTCAATATTATCATTCAATTCAAAACGAACAAAAGCTAATAAATTAGCTTTTCCAGCAACATCTGTACTTTCATCAAGTTGCAGTGAAAAATATTCACTTTGTTTTAAAACAGTAATAATAGCTATTTTCAAATTTTCCGACATTTCATCAATTCTTCTTTTCACAGTCGTATTTGATAGGTAACGGAATTTCATTAATTTTTTTGGTACATTTTTCATCAAACAAAGCATTACTTATTATTTTTGCTGCGGGAATAATAAGTTCTCCCACGGTGTAATCTGGCCCCTTCTTTGCGATTAACAATGAAAGCTTTTAAGAAACTTGGGTACTTGCTATGTTTTGTTTTGAAGATTTTTTCTTGATTAAAAAAATTTTAGAGAGATTTTCCTACACATTCAGGATGTTTAGTTGATAGCTAACTTTCAAGTTTTGAAAATTTCATACATTCGTTGGATAGCGTTTCGAAACAAATCACACACTGCCGCATAGGCTCCTCCTCAGTACCAAAAAATACAAACCCAATTTTTAAAAAAATCAGAGTTATACTTACGAAAATATATTTTAGTTTTCTTTGTTATATTCGAACTTGACACATCAATAATCTCACTACTATTAGTTCCACTACTACTAGTTCCTTCATAACTTGACAGCTTCGTCTTACGACAAGACCCAGTTCGAAACCAAGCATCCATATTTACGTGTAGCGTAGTTAATAGTATGTACTATGACACTATGTAATACTACGTAGTAACTCACAACAGACACAACGACGCATAAACATACAACCACTGTCGCAAAATAATTAGTTTACTAATTTACGAAATCGAAAGATCTATTAAATGTATCGCAACCTGCACGCCGTGCACAATAAATACGATAAAAATGACAAATAACAGGAACCTATTAATAATTAACGAACTATATAAGATAAAACTACGTTCGATATCGTATCGTTAATTTTACACTTCTTGTACACTATAGTTAAAATTGATTAAATATTATTATAATTAGAAATATAACAAAAAATATATAATAATAATGTTTTAAATATATATAATATTTAATATTATACCTATGGCTCGCGGTCCAGTACCATGCTGCTTGCGGCCAATGGGTTGGGAACCTTTGGTCTAAACCAGGGGTCTTCAACTTTTTTATGCAGCGGGCCACATATTATTTTTTTTAAATCTTGCGGGCCGCATTCGTAGTAAAGACATGTATTATATATAAAAATTCAGTTTTATTTTTACAATTTTTAAAATTAGGTTGGTACATTTAAAATTACAAATTAGTAAATTTATTAATTTAAAAAAATTGCTTTTAGAACATTTTTCTTGAAAAACGCGTTTTTCATCCGAGATTTTACGTTTTTTACTCACCGACATATTGTACAAATATTACGAAGAAAACGTATGAAATTGAAACTTATACACATAAACGAAGATATTTTGCTCATTCCACAATCAATTACGAACCAACAGACAATAATAATTATATATTGGTAGGTAATTCAATTTATCTTATCACATATTTCTGATAGCGATAGCTTAACTGTTATAATTTTATTGAACTAGAAAATGTAAATGCTAAATTTAAAATGTGATCGCGGGTCGCATATATGACAGGGTGGGTCGCAAGCAGGCCGGGGGTTGAAGACTCCTGGTCTAAACTATAAAGAGAACACACATACATTAACATATAATGAACTATTATAAATTTAAACTTTTAATAATTATTAATATTAATGAGAATAAAAAATGTACTTCTTTCATACTTTCCTAAGATAGTTCCAAAATAGTTTAAATTATTCAAACATAATAAAATATCAATATTTCATATTACATTATAATCTATGCTGTACCAATGTTATTATAATTTCATTGATTTATTTTCAATACCTAACATGAAATTGGCATAACACTTTTGTAACTTTGTTGATGATTACGTTATTCTCATCAACAGATCAATCAAAAACCATCTTCCACAAAAATGGATATGGTCAGCTGATTATCATATTTTCAATCATTATATTGTGGGTGTTAATATAAATACTTATTGATAATAAATTTGTTAACAAATTAATAAAATATAGATACGTATATTATATAATTATGATCAATGATGTTTGAAAGCAATATTTGAAAGTAATGATTTATAAAATTGGTTAAAAAAAAAAAAAATCCAAGGGAGAAGATTTATCCCCAATATCCCCTTTTTAATATGCCCCTGTTCCGCATTTTTTTAGGTTATTGCATTATTATTTAATGTTTAATCCATATTATTAATATTATAAAAAAAATAATATGAAAATAATGTGTATCAGTTGTTTCAAAAATAAATATAATATTTATTTATTTTCTTTTGTATAACATGTTTTTAATAGTCATATTTTCTAATAAACTAGTAGTTTTTTCTCAATAACATATCCTAACTGTAACGATTGTTGTATATCAACATCTTACATTATTCCTTAAAAATAACCCGGCTAATGTGTTGAGTGTGTGGAAAATAAATTAGATCATGACGAACCCTGACTATGAATTTTGACGTGGATATATAATGACGAGTAGTAGTGGACAATCGGTAGAGAAGGAAGTCAGCTAGTTTCACCGTACAAAGAGAGACACAGAAGACCATCAACATTAAGTCCATTACGGTCCTTACTAATTCCTAGCATCAACATCTATCACGTAAAATACAATATTAATAATATATTTTAATTAGTAACAATCACCTTGTACTTTTATATGGGGTAATCCTATTCCATAAATTTTAAGTATCACACACCGAGGTCGAGTCCCCGAGACCTCGTAAAAATAAACATATCTTTAAAAGAGTTCGATCCGATCAGTTTGTAGATTCGAAGGAATTTAAAGAGAGGACTAACATAACTATTATGCATAATAATTTAGGTAGAGGATAACTATATTTTTCAATTATTCAACAAAAATGTTACGTCGTATTTCGGTTTAGTTATATACCTAATTTTAATTTCTATAGACCGACCGGAATGACGTGCATGATGGTAATCAGCTGGGAAGTGTGAGAAGAATATATGTATAATAATAATGATACTAAATACCTTTTGAACAGAAAAAAAAAAATATCGACTACAATATATCAGCACACACAAAAATGCAAACTAGACGGAAAAATTGCGTTGCATTATTAATGCGTTGCGTTTATTAAATTTAGATTATAATTTTACATAAGCGCTTGCGTTTGATCAAAATACGTGTAATATGATAAATTTTTACTCGACAATGGGTTTTAAATATGCAAGAAGTACTGTACTGAATAGTATAAAATAAGTATATATATATATATATATATAAGTCTGTACAGTGGTCGAAATGGCACAAGATAAGTGGAGGGATGCCTAACAATTCAGATTTCCTGATATGATAACATTCTTCACACCTTGTGTACTTATATTTTTATTTTTTTTTATAGTTCACATAAGGTCAAGGCCGGATTAAACACCTATTGGGCCCCGGGGCTGAAATTTTATATGAGCCCATTTGACAAAACATGCTTTATAAAGCTACTCGCTACGCTCGCAGAACGATACATTTTATTTAACTATTTTACAAATTTTCAATTGCATTATAAAATTATAAAATTAATAGGTATATACAATTTATGTCTATAAAACTACTAATTTTAGTATGATAAAAAATGTGTATTGGCTTAAAATTGCTTGGGCCTCTTTGGGTACTTGAGAGGGCCCCGGGGCTGCCATCTCGGTTTGATCCCCCTTAATCCGGCCTTGCATAAGGTATATTATCTTAGTCCGTGGCTCTAAATACGGGTATAATACGGGTTGCGAAACGGCTTATACTAAACAACACGATAAGCCGGATGTCTGAGCCTGAATAAAAAAAAAAACAATTATTTTCACCGAAAAAAAAGTAATTTCTTATATATTAACATAAAAATGATAATAAGTATATAATTTTAAAATATAAGTCTTAGGTGGAATGCGTTATTCTAGACAAAACGAGTAGAGGGATGATAACTGTAAATACAAAAAAGTAGAGGGATACCATCCCACCGTATCCCTCCCACTTCGAGCACTGGGTCTGTACGTAAATCACGTGTGTACAATAAACCTGATGAGCATAGTGAAAACAGCTAAATTCCGTAAATTCTAGTCTCCACTTAAATGCTCCTTACTAGGAAGTATACGCACAAGAATAAATTACTATTTTCCGTTTAAGGTGGATTAATTTAAAGACGTATCATGTGAATGAAAGTTAAAAAAAAGTATATAACAGTCTAGAAATTATACAATTAAATGCAATAGAAGATAGAACAGTCTATCAATTTTATTCAATTTTTCAAAATTACAATATTTTTAAACTTATTATAAGTCATCCGACTTCACAAGTTAGATAATATATCCTACAGTGGCGTATTTACGGGGGGGATATGGGGGATAGATCCCCCCTTGACCTTTTTTTTTTCCTAGGTAGCTATAAGTTGTCTCATTTTCTCTAATATTCTTAATATGGTATTACTTTCAAGCATGTATGTTTTCTGTTTTCTAAATGTTCTAGTCGTGGTAATTGTACCGCTCTGATAGTCTGATATACTAATCGCCACTAATCGTTTATCGTTGGCGGCATGTACGACTATCAGGCAACAAAAACTATACCTATATTATGGTGTACTGTATTTTGTACGTTTCTGCGAATTATTTTTCATGCAAGAGTGTTTATAATAAACCCGATAAGCAATCGGTAAACAAAACAAAATGACCATGAAGACCGTGGATTAACCATAGGGCGGCCGGGCGGGTCTATTTTTAGAAAATTTGTTACTAGTAGATTTATGGCTAATGTATAGCTATATATATATATATATATTTTATCGTATGA